TTTAAGAGTATAAGAGCTCCAGATAAGGGAACTCATTTCAAATCTCTGCTACTTACAAATTGATGGTAAAGTATTTATATTTCTCTGACTTTTAGTTCCAACATGTGAAAAAAATGATTGCCCATACACCATCGAGTTAGGTAGATTACATTACACATGTAAATTGTATAACACATATAGTGCTGGCGAATGATTATCTATAATAATAAAAGTGTAATATGCAAATAGACCAAATGGCTGAACAGTGGAATGACCATCCACCATCCAAACGTCCTTCCGGACGACCTTCTGGACGAAGCCAGGGCTGTGAGGTTCAAGGCAGCCGGGGCTGTGAAGGCCTACTCTTGCAGGAATTGCGTGCTTAGGGCTTCTAGTTAACAATAAAATCTTGATTCAGCAAAGGCTGTCGTCCATTTCTATAATATTCTGTGTCACCCACACCAAGCACTGCCTCGCTTCACGGCATGCCTTTCTGTCCAGTCCTGACACTTCACCCTGGGGTCCAGCTTTACTCTGCTTCTCCAAATACTGAGAGCATCTGTCTCCCTGCCTTCAAACCTCATGCTTCCACGTTCTTTAAGAGTGAGTGCTAGAATTATTTACAAAGTTAGCACCAACAACAGACAAAACAATTTAAATCAAAGATAGGACACTACATGACTTATAGGAAGTACTACTCTTGTTCTTGAGTTCTGAATGCACTCTTCTTCTTTTATAACATTGACCCTGAGAACACTCATGTCAGGTGAACAAGGAATAGGCATTATTATTTTGTACCTTCCCTCCAAGAGGTAAAGATGACTCACCAAAAGCCAGTCACTGATATCAGATGAAGAATCCAATGCGGCATTCTTGAATTCTTGATTCAAAACCTGCCAGAGTCTCCATTTACTATGGAAAAGTCAACCTAGAGAGGATAATCCTAGCTGTTAATTTTCTATTATGATACTACTTTTTATACTTACAGCATTTTCTGGATTTGGATGGGCCCTCTGGTTACCCCCAGAATACAGGGAGGAAGCCATGTAAATTCCCTTCTCAACAGTTAAAGCAGTCCTTGTTCCAAAAACTCTCACATGTGTGATCACATGTCAGTGTCTGCAACTCAGTCAGGCCTTGGCTTCTTGGGATCTATTCATTACAAGTGAGTTTATGTGTCTTGAAGCATATGGCCTTGATAAATGATCCCGGAGCAAAGGAGCAAGGTATTTTAAGCTGGCCACAATTTTATTGAATCTCACAGGCTTGCTTTGTAGTCACTCCAATAAACTAAATGAGAAATTTCTGATGCTCCAAGCTATCCAGTCCCCCGGACTCCATGTCATGATTCAGAGTCCAACGAGACAACTCAAGAGTGTGCTTTTGTGTGACACTGTGACCACAGGGATAAATAATCGCTTAGTAATTCTCTTTGAGGCAGAAAATTCTAAACATGGAGGAACCATTTCCCCTTAATGGGAGCCAGAAATCCTGTAAGTGCTTGCAATGGCATTCACACGTCTGAATGGTAAACAGATAAAAACAGGAGCGCACCAGTTGCACAAATGACTTGCTTGTCACAAACTTGTCATTGCAGTCATCTAACATTTCTTTCACAGAGCCCGATGGAAAGTATGGAACAAACAGACCCTGCTGACGTTTTGGCTCTGCTAAGCCTTCCTCTGAGCTAAAGCATCTGCAGCATCTTCCTGTTCTAGACCCTTTATCTGCTGAAGTTAGCTGATGCTGTACATGTCAAAGAGATGCTTGACTATTACATTAACAAGTTGATGACAAGCAAGTTATTCCTGCCGCTAAAATACTGCTGCTTTTAGCAGGCTGCCATTTTGACCTTCATCTTATTATACAGGAGAACCCTAACAGAGCAGAGCACAGGGGAGATACCAGCGTTGTTGCCCAGGCCTGTCAGATAAACAAGGACCAACTGTCTAGGGCTTAGGTGCAGTGGATGCACCAGGCAGTTGCATCAGGGTTATACATGGGATTTCCTAGTAAAACTGTAAATGTCTCAAACACTTCAGACCATCTCAAGCATTCCTGAGATAAAAGGAGCTGAACAGAAATTCATTTCCCCCCTACCCCCTCAACCCCCGATACATGTGTCCACACATAGGCCTGTATATACTTTATCAAACGTTAATGTCCGGAAACGTTAATGAAAACCATATACCAGCTTCACAGATAGTTTTTGCCAGTTCTTGGAGTTCCTCCTATCAGTAGCCTCTCCTCAGCTCTTCCTCATTAAGCATAACATCTGGAACTGTCTCAACCTAATCAGAACCATGCTCTTATCCCCTGAAAAGCAAGGAATGTCCATTAGCCTCCTCGCAGAAACCTTCAAGAGCCCTAAAGCAACACCAGTTCATCTCCAACCTCGGCTGCCAGCAGGGAGTGCTCATACACTATGCTACATCTGACTCCTGCCTTTCTGTTTAAAGAGCCTTTTTTTTTTCGGGAGGACCCACCCATGGTGTCCCCGGAGTGTGCACACTGGTGGGTCTCAGGCTTATCAGCACACAGACCCAAACTGGAGCTGTAACAGGAGCCTTGCCTGTTGCTTGAGTATTCTGCCTCTGCTGGTGCCATAGGCTACCAGACCTTGGAACAATGGAACATTTGCCCTCAGACTTTGGCCTCTTTTCATAAAGCTGAGCTTCTCTTATTCACCAAGGTGTCAGGTGCCCTGTATTCTTTTTAGACCCCTCCTTAAGGGTGCATTGATAGTGTCTTATCTGGTTTAAATATTGACAGAAACACTTGCATTCTCAGGCATTTTCCGGCTGGTGCCCTAGGTGCTTTCATTTTTTAAAGTCTTGTGTAAAAATGATGATTGTTGTTTAACCATGAGAACCCAAATTTCTTGCCAAAGTAGTGATGGGGCTTAACTTCCTTTTATATTTGGCAAGTTGACCATAGCCATCTCCCAAATGAAATGTTTTAAGCCCATCCCAAATATCTCACGCTGTAATCTATACCTCAGCTTTGTTATCTCAGAAGACAGGTGGGAAGGGTGTGAGAAGAGGGTCCTATGTTTTACACAGCTACATATATTGGCCTTGAAAAAGGAAATGAAAGTAGTTTGAGGCGGCACTTATATTTCTGTAAAAGAAAACAGAAACAAATGATTTGAATTTTAAATGGAGTTTTAGTGACTTTTTCTTTTGAAAGTTCCTAATAGGATTTCTGTAATGATTTTGTGTTTTCTTTTTGTAATAGAACTTAAATGGCAAAGAAACGATATGCTATTTTTGATTTAGGGAAAAAAATTAAAATATTTCTTTATGGGAACTCTCTTTTTAAATACACATTAGGGAATAGATAATGGCAAACAAAAAATGTTCTTGCTTCCTATTTAGAGGATAGCTCATTAGTGTATGTGTATGTGCTTTTTTAAAATAATTCTTTATTGTTGAAAGTATTACCTATGTCCCCTTTTTCCCCCATTGATCCCCCTCCAGCCCACCCTTGCTTCACCCCCGCCCCCGCCCCAGGCCTTCAGCACCCTATTGTCAGTGTCCATGGTTATCCATGTATGTATACAATGTCTTTGGTTGATTACCTCCGACCCACCTACCCTCCCCTGCCTTCCCTCTGAGATTCCCCACTCTGTTCCATGCTTTGAGTCTCTGGATCCACTCTGTTCATCTTTTTATTTGTTACTTAGATTTAATATATATTTCCTTACTTGAGTGTTTATTTTCTATTTATTTTAAGCAAGAAAGGCCGTGGCCGGTTTGGCTCAGTGGATAGAGCGTCGGCCTGCGGACTGAAAGGTCCCAGGTTCGATTTCCGTCAAGGGCATGTACCTTGGTTGCGGGCACATCCCCAGTGGGAAGTGTAGGAAGGAAGGAAGGAAGGAAGGAAGGAAGGAAGGAAGGAAGGAAGGAAGGAAGGAAGGAAGGAAGGAAGGAAGGAAGGAAGGAAGGAAGGAAGGAAGGAAGGAAGGAAGGAAGGAAGGAAGGAAGGAAGGAAGGAAGGAAGGAAGGAAGGAAGGAAGGAAGGAAGGAAGGAAGGAAGGAAGGAAGGAAGGAAGGAAGGAAGGAAGGAAGGAAGGAAGGAAGGAAGGAAGGAAGGAAGGAAGGAAGGAAGGAAGGAAGAAAAGAAAAGAAAAGAAAAATACTTATGCTGGAGCAATTTCATTAGATTCATAGGTTTTTAGGACAAGAAAGGAGCCTCATGGTAGGATTATGACTATATCACACTCCCACGTTAGGGATGTGGATACTGAGACGCAAAGATGTTTAATAACATCAGCAAAGACACACAACAGGATTGTGGCAGAGCTGCACCTAAGTCAAGATCTGACTTTCAATTCAGACAATACTCTCAGAAATTAAATTAAAACTTTAAAAACTTTCTTTTAAACAGGACAGTCTTATGTGAATGATTTACATTGATGTGCTTAAATCTCATAGGATATTTGCTTTTGGAATAACTAGGGCTATGAACTGGCTAAGCCAACTTAGGGATATATACTTGAATCATTTGGAGACATTTCTTCCTAAACTGTGTTTTATCTGAGTAATGTAAGGAACTGGTATTATTTCAATTAATTTTTTTTCTTTCACAAGATTTCAAAGAAATACTCCATACCCATTTAGGCACCTGAAAGCAAGTATTTTTAAATGGGTCTGTTCCTTTAGTAAGTACTCATTTAAATAGGTCATATTCTAACATTCTTGGAGATAAAAGGCCTTTTATTAGATTAAAAGAAATCTGTTCTTTATTCCCACTTGTAGCCATGTTTTGGTTGGTTCTCATAATTGCCAGTTTCAACAAAACACTGATTAAGTCAAAACATCAATGATTTTGTTTGTTTTGGTTCTTTTAGTTTAACACAAGGGGATAAATAAAAAATGCATTTACCTTTTTGTAGCTATGATAATTATATACCCTATTTTTCATTTATGCAAAACTTATTTTTGAGGGTTTTCTCTTTGTTTCATTTCTCCATTTTTGCATTTTCCAAACATCTGTACCATGGCCGGTGGTGAGAGTAGCAGCAACTGGCACTTTTCCTCCACGTTTTGAGAGAAAGAGAATTGGCTGGAATAAAACCTTGCTTTCCATGTGGTCGACTTGAAATACTGCATTGAAAAGGTATTGTCTCTTTTTCTTTTCTGAAACCAGAGGTGAAACCCACAAATAAATAGCTATATTGATGCCGAACCACCTGTTGATTCACATCAGAAAAGTCCTAGGCAGTGCATTCCCCACTTGAATAGTTGAAAGATCTAAATGAATGGATGTTTTTTTGTGCATTGGTAGCATCATAACAACAATATATGCTGCTGGTCACTCACTTAAGAAAGCCTAGATTCTGTAGGCAGTCAAGAAGTTAATTGAGTGCTGCTTTTGCTTCAACAAAATGATCACTTTGTAAGTATGTTTGACTATGAAGTGCTTATTGATTCCTCGAATATTGGGATATGTTGTCAGGGACAGTGAAGAGAAGATCACACTAGTGTGTTCTGTTACCTTGACTAATTCTAGTTAGGAAAAGCAGTAGTCTTTGTCTTATCAATTCTCTTAATGTAAAATATTTCAAACACATGAAAGTATAAGGAATAATGTGAGCATGCAAGAATTCAAGACCCAGGTTAAAAAAATGCTTAATTAATTTGGAACACTTATTTTGAACCTTTTTTATCTTCTATTTTTCCATTATAAGTCATATATACTGAAGTGCACAAATGAAATGTATAGCTTGATGAGTGTTTATGTAAAGATACATCCATGTGACAACATCTAATCCAAGATACAAAACATTTATCACACCCTAGGAAGGTCCCTCATGTCCCCTTGCAGGTAACATTCTCCAAAGCTTTAACAAAAGGTTTAAAACAAGCAAAACTATTCTGGCTTCTGTAATCAAGAATAACTTTACATAAACCATATATTAGGGCTTATATAAAATGCATCCTACTATATGCAAAACTAGAATTTGTTTGCTGAGTCTCTCATTGTTAGACATTATTTCCAGTGTTTCCCAACCACAACCTATACTGCAATTAAAATGTTTATACATGTTTAAACACATAGAGGAATTACTAAACTGTAAGAGGCAATGCATTTTCAACTTTATTAGGGATTGTAAAACTTCTCTCCAAAGTGATAGTATCCATTTATATTCTCATGAGCAATCTTTGCGAGCTTCTCCATGTGCTTCACATTTGGAATGGGAAGATTTAAAATTTTTGTCAGGCAATTGGGTATTAAATAATATCTCATTTAAAAATTTTCGCTTATAATCCATTAGGATTTGCTCATGTATTTTGACTATTTGTATCTTTGCACATCTTTCTATTGGGTTATTTGTTGGCTATTATTGTTTGGATGGCTTTTGATTTTGGCTTTTGTTGTTGTAATATTCTGGATTCCCATCCTTTGAGCAATACAGAATACAAATATCTCTTCCTAATTTGTAGTTTCTCTTTTAACTGTGTCTGTACTAGCATTTTTAAAGAGCTTCTTATTTAAATCAGTTATGTTTATTGGTATTTTCCTTTATGATGTGTGCTTTTATGTCATTTAAGAAATCTTTCCATATAAACTTTCCTATACTTATTCTAATAATTTTAAAATTTTGCCTTTCTAGATCTTTAATCTTGGCATTTGTTTTCTATATGGTATCTTACATACACCCTATTTTAACTCTTTTTCATGTGGTTAACCTTATTATTCCACCATTTATCAAATTAGTCATCCTTACCAATAATTTACAATGCAATCTGTCCCCTACATCTAATCTGTTTTTAGTATCTTTATTTCATCAGTGGACTGTTTCTCTACTCTTACACTAACACTGTGGTGCCTTAATTACCAAAACTTTATAACATCCTAGTTATTTAGTGAGGTAAATCTCTGCATTGTTTTCTTTAAAGTCCTCTTGGCCTTTTTCAATTCAATATGAATTTTAGGGTAAGCTAGTCAAGTTTGACAAAAGCCCTGCTGAATGATATTTATAATTACCTTGACTTTAGAGAATACTCTGAAGATTGTAAAACAATGCTATAAAAACTGTCAATTAACATACTATATTCCTCTACTTAATCAGATCTTCCTCCATGTTCCTTAATGTTTTATAGTTTTCAATCTACAGGTCTTGCTTGACTATTTTGTCTATTACATAGAGAATTTGTTTTTATTTCATTGTTTGCTGGTTATTATTGGTGAATATTTAGCAACTTTGCTGAACTCTCTTATTAACTCTACAGACTAAACTGGAAATTCTCTTAGGTTTTCTACATAGACTCATATGCCATCAGTAAATAATGACAGCTGTTCCCCTTAAATTTCAATCCTTAAATGCTTAATTTCCTTTTCCTGTCATATTGCATTACTAGGACTTCTATACAGTGTTGAATACAAACTCTGATAATAGGAATATCTATCCCATTTCTCACTTTAATAGCAATGTTTTGGAAATGTGATATTTGCTTAAGGATTTTGATAAATCAAAATTATTGTGTCAAGGGAATTTTCACTATCTTACCTAATAATAGACAAGCATGCAAATTGACCATACCTTCGTTACACCTTAAGCCATGCCCACCAGCCAATCAGAGCGACTATATGCAAATTAACCCAACCAAAATGGCGGCCAGCAGCCATGGAGCTGGAGCAAGCAGGAGGCTTGGTTGCCCCAATGATGGAGGAAGCCAAGCTTCCCAGCCGGCTCTGAGCTCCACTCAAAGCAACAAAGTTTCAATTATAGAAGGTAAATAAACCCCAGATACCTGCTTCCAGTCTCCATGGCCACGGAGCTGGAGCAAATAAAAAAAACACAAAAAAAGGAAAGGCTGGGAGCTTCGGTCGCCAGGGGGCTTGGTCAGTCTGAAAACAGCCATCAGCCCCTCACCCAGGCTGTCCAGGCACCCCAATGGGACCCCCACTCTGATCTGGGACACCCTTCAGGGCAAACCAGCTGGCCCCCTCCCGTGCACCAGGCCTCTATCCTATATAATAAAAGGGTAATATGCAAACTGAC